TGAAGCTGAAGAGCTGGCGCATCTCTCAGGGATTTTCCACTTTCCTGGCCCTTGGGGAACTGGCTGGGCACCAGCCTGCCAAGGGCATGAGGATGGCGCAGGGGCACCGAAGCATCTGTCTGTCGGAATTAGGAGCCAACTGCAGTGATGTCTCTAAGCTAAGGTAGAAACTGCATTCTTTCAGCAGCCCTGCTTGTGTTCCTTGTTACCTTTTGCACCCCTGCCTGCCTGTCGCTCTCTTGCCCTCTACTCTCTGGGGAGAGCTTAAATTCAGTGCTCTACCACAGAGCTACACCCAGCCCCCTCCTCTTCTTAGTGAGAACCTAAGGTTGTGTTCTAGAAGGGCCAGCAGGGCCCCTGCCTGAGATTTTTCTTTTTTCTCTTCTCTTTTTGAGACAGGATCTAAGTAGCCCAAGAAGGCTTTGAGCTGACAATCCTCCTGCCTTAGCCTCTGTCTAGTTACTTTTCTGTTATTGCTGAGACAAAATACTGGACACCCTAAGTTAAAGGAGGAGAAGTTTATTTGGTTCACAGTTTGTAGGTTTCAGTACATAATTGGCTGGCAGGGTGGCATGGCAGGATGCTTTGCAGAGGAGAGAGTCCACAGCAGGCAGAAGGCAGTGAAGTAAGCAAGATCTTAGCAGCTCGCTTGCTTGCTTGCTTTCTCTCTCTCTCTCTCTCTCTCTCTCTCTCTTTCTTTCTTTCTTTCTTTTTGTGGTACCAGGTAAGCAGCATCTTTCTTCCCCTTTTATATTCAATCCAGGCTAATGGGTTTAGAATATGCCAAACTAATCAGTGGGCTGATTCATTAATAGCTCATCCTTAATTCCAGCATTATACCCTCTAGACTAAGCCACTTCTGAAAAGCCCCACCTAGGACTACAATGAGGTTTTGGGGGGACATCTAGGTACAAACCATAACACTTTCCGAGGTGCTAGAATTATAAGCTATTGCTTAATTTTTAGCAAAGTAACCTTTGTATATAATTTTCATGGCTCAAAAGTTATAGAGGTAAAATAAAGGCTGCACTGAGCATCCCTAGCCCTTATCACCCCTGTGCACCCCTAGAGGCAATCATTTGGGACATTTGGTGTATCTTAGGTGGCTACTCTGTATCCCTGATAGGCTTGTATATTAGATAAAATTTTAGACGTTATCTACTGGGTATTGCTGTGATAAGCAAGGATTAGCTGGCTTACCTCTTATCCTTAACCTCCCTAAACAGCTAAATTGATCTTTTCAGTTCCTTTATTGGATGATTTAGTAATTTCCAGCAGTATACTGGTATCTATCTTCTTCTTTTATCTTTGTGGGGTGGGATGAAATATACTGTAGTGATCGTGAGGCACATAATCAAAAACTCAAGTCATCACTACCTCTGAAACAGAACAGTGTCAGTGCTTTTAAAACTGCTTCTCACTACCCATGAAACCATGACCCCGACTCTTGCTGTGATCTTTAGAGTTCTCTTTACTTTTGCATGCATGTCAATATTTTGGCTTTCTGCAAATGCAACCACACTCTCTGTAATCTTCTGCATTATACATCTTTCCTTCAATGCTGTTAAGATGCTTTTACTTGGGGAGCTAAACTGCAGCTTGCTCATGGTCGCTGCTATATGATCACGCACTGTTGAGGACCACAGCTTATTTACCTGGTGTGCTGCTGATGGACGTCTGGGTTGTTTCTTGTTCTGCTGTTGTGGGCATCCCGATTCCTATCTCCAGTGTGTGCAGGGGATTCTTCAGGCCCTGTGAGCATAGACTTACCTGGAACACATTTTCCAGTGTGCTTTCCCCTCTTGACTCTGCCCTGTTGACTTGAGTGGAGTGGGCCAGAGACATGGGGACTATCCCAAGTTCCGCAGGTGATTCCACTGTGAGGCTCTACAGCCCATCTTTACCTGTAGCACATCAGCTCTAGATACTATTTCTCAACATGCAAAGGAGCAACACTATCTCAGTCTTGTCCCTTTTCCTCCAAGATTTCTGTGTGTTGCTTAGAAAGAGGTTATAAGGACCTTTTCCCAGGCAAGGTCAAAATACACAGGAGAGGTAAAACAGTGGTCAAGGCATGGGCAGGAACTGATTAAAACAATAGAACAAAGGTACTTTGTGCAAGTACAGCTGAGGAAAACCACAGCAACCCCAAGGGGTTAAACTTTAAATGTCTAAAATAGGTTAAACTTTGAACTTGACTTGCAGCCAGCATGCTACTTAGAAGTTGAAGGGAATTCTCTCCGCCCCCCAACCCAGGGATCTTATAATCACATTTTTTAGGGATTCCCAGCTCATTCTGTTTCTCAACCCTTGTTCCACATTTGCTTGGTGTGCTGGTATCTATCTATCTTCTTTTGCTTCCCAAGGTATCTTGGTTCCAGAGCCTTGGGAAGCCTCTGATTGAAGGCTGCTGGTATCTATCTTTTTTTCTTTTGGGGCTGTGCTCCTAGTTTCTGACTCTATGTATCTGAAATGAGCCCTTGATCGTGCATGTCTAGTAGCTATTTCCCTGTGTTCCTCCAGCCACACTTGAGAATCAGCTGACGGGTCTGAAGTTCTGCCCACACAAACTTACCTGTGTGCCTCCCCTTGGGGATGCAGAGCAGACCAGCTTGGTTCAGTTGTGTGCATCTCTTCCAAAACTCTCTATTGTGTAGCTATGCTGGTAGCTTGAAATAGACCATGGACATGGCAAATGCTACAAAGCAGGACTTCCTCCAACCTCCAGTCAGTTATCATGTGCTCAATCCAACCTATCAGGGATCAGTGGGGGACACTGGGAGAGCATCAGCAAGCTGTGGGGAATCCCTGGCTGTGAAGGCTCAGCATCACCATTGATGGGCTGTTGGTACATGCGGCCTCTTTATTGTGGTTGCTTACAGAGCTTCCATGTATATGGGAGGTAAAGTACATCCTGCATACTGAAAAGAAATTCCTATATCATTTGGCTCCAGTCGTTCCAAAGACTATTCTGGGTTGAGTTAGTACAGGCTGCACAGTCCTTTGCTGAAAGGGACCAGAAGTGTTTTGGATTTCAGGTTTTGGAAGTTTCACATTTACATAATGAGGGCATGAGGATGGAATCCAGGTCTAAACATTAAACTCATTTTTGTTTAATAACACTTTATCCATATAGCTGGAAAGTGATTGTATACACTTTTTTAGTGGTTTTTGTGCATTTAACATAGTTCCACAGTGTGGAATTTTCCACTCACAGCGTCAAGTCACTGCACAGAAAGGTTTGGATTTTGTTATATTTTGCGTTCTGGATTTTGTGGCTAGGCATACTTAGCCCAGTTATTAGTGGTGAACAAAACCAAAGAAACACATCGTATGCTTTTATAGTGATTAACAGAAAATAATGGAGACTCTGAGACTCAATATTTTAAATTGCTTTCTTGCTCCGTGCCTGGGGAACTTTTGCACACTGGTCCAAGATGGCGTCAGGTAGGAATGGAAGTGATGGAAACCCCCAAGTCAAGGAAGGGAATTGAGTTCCTTAGAACGAACTGTGACCAAGATGCCTTGGGAAGCCTGTGTCTACTCTGGTGGAAGGCTGCTGAGGTGGGCTGAGAAGTTACAGGCATTCACCCCCTTTTACCAGGAAATGGCCGACTTGCATGGGACAGGTGGTCATCTGGCACCTTAAACCAAGCTCATTTTAACCCTCAGCCCTATATGGTGACAACACCAAACACCTTTCCACAAGCAAGACACCAGTCATGAATATGTGAAGCCTGCGGTCCTACTGCAATGACCTCTCAGGCATTCATACAGAAGGCAAGCACTTGGCTCCTGGTGACAACCACATATTAAAAAACTCAAAGTGTTGGGACCGGGGTGCAGCTCAGTAGTAAGTGTATGTGCTTATGTGTTAGGCTCTGGGTTTCACCCCAACAGCACAAAAAGCAAAACCAAAACAGCTGACTTTGACGGTGCATACCTTTAATCTTAGCACTCTGGGAAGCTAAGGCTAGAAGAGGGAAAGTTCAAGTCCAGCCTGGGCAATTTAGTGACTTTGTGGTATCCTGTCTCAAAAGGGGGTGGGGCCAAGAGGGGGATGTAGCTCAATGCAAAAGCCCTAGGTTCCATCCTCAGTACCACATAAGTAAATTAATTTTCTTTTAAAAGAGAGTTTCCCCAAAAGGGCCTCCTCTATTAACCCAGGGTACTGGGCTTTCATTTTTTATTTTCATTTATGTATTTGGTACAAGGTCTCACTACCTGGCTTGGACTTGTAGTGATCCTCCTGTTTTCAGCCTCCCCAGTGCTGGGATTACAGGCGTGCACCACCATGCCTGGACTCAATTCACGGCCAGCTCAGGGAGCCCCAGGGGTGGGGCCAGCTCAGCATGCACCACTAGGGTTCAAGCCCTGGTCCCTGTGCTTGCCAAGCAGGAGCTTAGTCCACTGAGCTATCTTGCTGGCCTTTGGGCTTTCATATTTCTTTGGGGAGCAGTTTTTGTCTGTTGAGATTAGTTCTCTTCATAGACAGTGCCATGCTCTGTGTCCAGTTGACTTTTTCTGTTTGGCAGATTCAGAACTCATTGAGATCACATTCTTGCACAGACAGAGAAAGAGAGAGAAAAGATTCTCTTCTGGTTACTGACCCCAGCAATACCCTGAATTTTTCATTTCGGTTGGGTGGAGGGGAATAAGTGTGTGGTGAGAGACTGGCTTGAGTCAAAAGCCCGGATCTATCATCATCTTTAGTGAAACTTCCATCAGTACCTTGACCTGTGAAAGACACTTTCCACCTTTCTCTGAACTGAAAGAAGGGTGGCCCTGGGTAGCACGGCAGGGGCTTTGTACCTTCAGGTGTGCCTCTGGAGCACAATAGCCCTGTGTTTCTTCTGGTGGACTGGCAGGGTCAGGCCTGGGGCACTCCCCGGGCTCTGCTGCAACTGGCCTTGTCTACACATCAGTGTTTCCTGTTTCTAAATCATAAGTGTGTCTGGATATGTAAATTGATCCTAACTTTGCTTTTCATCTCTTTGCAGTGAAATGCGAAATGGAAGACCAAGAGGTACCTGGAGCCAAGACCACATCTCACATCCCCTTAGCCACTCTTGGTATCTTTTGTCATCCAGGCATAAGTGGCCTGTGCACACAAGGAAAATGTCCACACTGTGTTTTCTCTATCATTTCTTTAAAGATTGTGTGCATATGAAAACAGAATCTTTTCCCACAAGACAGGATTTGTTACAAACATATATTAGTGCAAATAGTTTAGAAAGATACTAGTCTTAAATTTCGTTATCCCCAAGTTATCCTTTCATTGAGGTATTCTTCAGTGCTTAGATGTAACCTTCTAAGCCAATTATTCTTAAAACCCTAATTGCAAGAGATGAAGTGCTGTTGCTATCAGTTTCCCCACTTTTGCAAGATCTGTATTTTATGTGTCAAATCTGTTGTGTTTTCTTTTGCAGGAATGGAACCCAGGCTTTGTGGTGTATGATAGGCAAGAGTTCCACCACTGAACCACACACATCTTAGCTCAAGTGGGACATCTGAACCCATCAGGCACTAAGAATTGTTGCTGTCTAGGTCCCACAGTATTCTAGAAAGTCCCTGCTTTTGGGGTAAATTAACTCACGACTCTCACTTGTGCTGTGGTTTGCAGGGAGGCAGCACTCTCTCATTCATAGTGTCAGACTCAGCCAAAAGCCTGGAAGCAGTATGGGGTTGTTTCGACAGGCTACCACACATCTTAAGTAAATAGTAAAGCCTTTATTTTTTGTGTTAAGAACAGCATTTTGAAAATAAACCTATCTGCTCATGCTTAACAACCTTTTAAATTTGTAATATTTATATACAGTCATGTATGGTACACATTGATTGTCTTAAAATTTCTGAATGATTTTCTTTATAAGTATGCAAGTCAGCCAGGGGAAGATAAAGGTACATTATAAAACACACATTAATACATTTAATAAATATATATTATCTATCAAAAATGAGCCTTAGCTCTGTATCAATTAATAAAAAGCACCTGCTGAGAACTCCCCGAAGCTGGTATAATCACTGCACCCCTGGATTATAAAAGCCACCATGCCCTCTTTTAGTGTGGGGTTCAGCCCAAAGTCTTCAACTCAGCCTGCAACAACCCAGCCTGCACTTGTTCAGGGACCCTGACCCCATATCTCTGTGCTAAAACAAAACAGACAAAATACAAAATAACCACTAGACACCCTGCTTCCAACAGCTGGCTCTTAATCCTGGAAACACTCGAGATAGACAGGGCTCCCCAGATTGTAAGTTCTTGGAACTTGGTTCCTCACTTCCACCCTCAATGTCCAGTGGAGAAATCCAGGCTGCAACTTTTCTATTAAAAGAGGCAATAGGAGCGGCTGTTATAGTCCCAAAGCGGTGTTACTAACAAGACATGGAAAAATTTGTGCTTACAAGGAGGGATTATTCAGACGCTGTCCTTCCAGGTCATTTTCCCCAAGTAAGCCTTATTTACATACACAGATCTGAAACAGAGGTACTGATCTTAACCCTTGTTCTCTAGGAAGCTGGACGCCAGCCTCTGGGGGAAGCCGCCTCTTGGTGCTTTGAGTGAACCCATTAGGAAAATAGCACATTTCCCACCTTTTCCACGTTGGCCTCCATCCTCAGAGCATACAGCCCACCTTGGACCTTAAAGCCAAAAGAAAACAAAACCTAGAAGCACTAACCTACAGAGATTTAAAAGCAAAAAGAGAAAGAGAAATGGTCTCATCATTATAAGTGAGGTTTCCCAAGGCTCAGAGATGGTTGTTTTTATGGTGTGGAAATGCTGCGGTTCACAGGTAGCCATTTATACAGTGCTCACCTTATACGTGTGGACAACAAAGAACTCAGAGACCTGATCAATCGTGTGAAATCCTCCCTTCTGCAAGGGGGGCTTTTGCAGACCGAGTCATTGATGGTATCAGAAAGCTCCAAAGGACTCCAGAGAGCAGGGGTGAGCAACCATTTCCTGGCATGAGAATGTGCAATGTTGTCGTTTTCCCAACAGACTGCACTAAGGGGGTCAGAGACTTCTTTATTTGCAGAATGCTGGGTCTGCATGCATTTGTCCCAGCCCCAGCCCCAGCCCCACCCCAGGCCTTGGCTCCTTCCTTTGCCACCTCCCCAAAAGTCCATTTTCAGCCCACCCAATGGTGGTCCTTGAGCAGAGAGGACCAGATCAGATTCTCTAGAAGCAAAGCACATGCTATGGGTGGGGTTGGCACTTCTGGGAAGCTCAGGAAGGGGGACATTTTGGTGTCATGCTCTTGTCTCCATGCTTGGTAATGTAAGGAAATGTAGGCACTATAAGGGAAATTTACACATAGGGCTGGCCAAATGGCTAGCTTCACCTCCCCAGGGCTCCGCAAGGACAGGTAGGGGGCCAGGAGGGGACACAGTAGAGACTAGGGCCTCAAGACAAATCAGGTTTATTAAAACATAATCAGCTCAGAAGCACTGACTTATGAAGAGGTCAGTTTCCCCCACCTCCACCCTCACCCACACCCCAACACTAACCTTTTTCATTTTCTTTAAAGGTTAAAGGCTTATGGGTAGTTTTATAGAAAAAGCAATGCAGTAATTAGAGTCAATGCAAAAGGCCCCATCCTCACCGATACATTCCATGTGTCAGGTTAAAACTATTCGCTCTGACTCGTTGCTAGCATTATGCTGGCCAAACAGTGCAGAGAATGTGGGGGCTTTCAATGGCTGGGATGTTGGAAATGCCAAGTAACAAAAGAATGACTCGCTTAGGACAGATGGAAACCATGACAGAAACAATGGGCTTTGAAGAGAGAGCCATTCTCATGAAACCTACTGAAAAGCAAAAGAAAAATATCCCCCGCCTTCTCCCAAAGCAGCAAAAAACTCTAATGGGATTCACTCCACCCGAGAACTTTCCCCTGATCCACAGAAAAGACCCAAGAAGTCACTGCTTGTAGGCAGCAGGACGTTGTCTCTCCATCCTGGGACTCCAGGAAGCCCTGCTGTGGGACATCAGCGTGGGAAATCTGCCATGGCACTGGCCTTCCACTCTGGCTCTTGGAGGGGCTTCCAGCCCATGGCTCCACTTGAGCTTCTGGAACAAACAAGGGCTACAACTGGGAAAGGGACACCCATAAGTGCAGGAAGCAGGAGGGACTGTGGCTCCACCACTCTTGAATATTCTAGGGCTCCACACAAAAGGGGGCAGGATGGCTTTCTTGTCATGGGCACCAGAACGAGAGACGATGGTCACTTCAACACCCAGAGGGCCTCTCCTCTTTGGCACGTTCCAGGTTCCTACACCCCTTCTGATTACAAAGCTGCCCCATGATTTACCTTAGAATCACACCCACAGCATCTTAACTCCCCAAAACATGCAAACCACCAGCCAAGCCAGGGAAAAGAAGCCTCTATAGTCATCTTAATGACACAGTGATCCCCAGGAGGTGGCCTGTGTCTGGCACTTGCTAGGGAGGTGACAGGCTGTCCCACACCCTCTACATAGCCAGCATCAGCCAGGCCCACGAGCTGTGAATTCAGTTCTGTTCTACCCCCAGATGGTGAAACAGCCTTGCCAGCCACATTTCCCAGGGAGCCTAATACTATTTGCAGTGAGCTCTGTTTTAGTTTGCAGGGACCAAGGTTGCTGTGGCACTAGGTATCTGTGTGTGTGTGTGTGGCAGAGGAGGGCAGGGAGGGCAGTCGGTGTTAGCTTTTCAGTTCATCAGTGTTCACATTTACACAAAAGCCCCTCGGCAGGGATTTCCAACTCTCCTGGCTGTGAGGCGGCCTCGCTCAGCTACTGTTACTGATTTCTCCCTCAAGAAAGACACGGCCAGGGAATGGAATTGGTAAGAGAGATTCTTATTCTCTGGAACTTAAAGTTGTTCACCAGAGGTGTCTTCCAGTGTGAGTTGGCGGAGCAGTTGGGATCTGGAATAACACATAAGGATAACACACTGAGAACTCAACGTCAACATCAGACACTGATTCGTTCACAACGTGCTAAGGATAAGCTACCTTGCTCTTACCGAGATGGGCTGAATAGTTCCCAAAGAAAGCAGCAACCATGGAACGCCACGCTGCTCTGGGTTCTGGGAGGCTACCTCCCTTGTATGCAGTCATTCCCTCTATGCACGGGCTTCTTTACCCTCTAGGCTTTGGTGCTTTCACCCACACTGACCTTAAATGAATCAGGAGAGCTAAGAGTGACAGATGAGGACCTTTCTAACCATATTTATTATATTGCCCAGGCTGAATGCTTGTGAATTAGGCTTTTCTTGGCTCTGGACAATAAACAGCACAGTGAATGGTAGGGGATTTTAAGAATACAAATCTTAGCTCTTTTGATATTTAAGCATTTTCCAAGCCAATGCAAACTGAGGCCTAGTGGACCATTCGCAAGCCAGAAAAGCTGAAGTTCCCTCCAGAGATCAAAGACCATCCCTGACTTCATTTAAAAAAAAATCAAAAATCAAAAATTGCTCAGGTTGAATATGGAATTGGCACATGAAATAAAGAATGGAAATTCAGTTTACACATGTAACCAGCTCATGTGTTGTTTCCGAGAGAAGCACATAGCTGTGTTTAGAAATTAAATGTGGGAATGGGTGCATTTTAGAATTATTGGCAAAACAAAATAATGTCCTTCCATAGAGGCAAAACAGAAAGGATGGTGATTCTCCTGATGGTCTGTTTGGCATCAGATAGTAAACCCGATTTTATGTTTAAAGAGTCAAAGGTAATCTCTTTGATTTCTATGATGTCTCTTAGGAGTTGGGGTGGGACAACCCCTGCTCACTTATAGCATGAGGATAGAGTGGAGACCAAGAAATTTAACCTAGGTTGGACGTTAGCAAAATCTGCCAGGAGTACTTCACACTGTAGGTGTTTCCTTTAAGTCATTTCCCAGGGAGAGGGTTGGGGCACTGTATTAAGGAAAGCCAAACAACTCACTGGGCGAAGAGCCCCTAGAAACACATACTCTTCCTGAGGAATCTACAGATAGCTAAGTACTTATAGGTAGGTTTTCTGTGAGTGCAGAAAGGGGTAGGAGCAAAGAAGAAAATGGAAGCATTGCATGCATTTGGCTGCAAGGGATGTCGACTTGAGCCGCTCTCTCCGCAGGCCATGGGAGCAGCCTCCACAGGACGTGTGGCCCTGTCACAGCTGCTCCCCACGGTGTGCTCTTGGGCTTACTGCCCAGCATCACATCTTGATACTTACAGTCCCACCGTTGAGCACAACGGCCATCTCGGTTGGCTGATACACGTTGCTTCTAAACGGAGCGCTGGGTCTGTTTCCCAAGCCACTGCTGGGTTTTTTCCCCAAGCTGCCACTGGATCTTTTTCCTAAGCTGCCATTGGAAAATCCTGCTGTTCGGAGAGCTGGGGAAGAGAGGGAGGAATAAAAGGAGGGAGCGGGAGGGAGAGGTTGGCAATAGGACAACACCAAAAAAGAGACATGGTTTTGTTTTCTTCCTCTGCATCAACAAGGCACTCCGGGCACCCCCACCCAGCCGGTGGCTCCTCCCCTTTGTCACAAGCCTGATTCAAAACAAAAATCACAAAGGCGCTTTGTTCTGAGGCTCTCTAGGAGTCTGACCCATCTCAGTGGGGCTGTGAAGTTTGTAGAGTCCAGGGTGCCTGTAGCTTGCAGCGGGAGGGAGGAGGCCCAGGGTCTAAGCCAGCCGTGGCAAACCTTTTAAGAACTTTCAGTGGCATCAAAGAGTCTGCTGTGGTGCTAGTACCCATAGGTTCGCCACCATTGGCTAGACCCTCCCCGCACACAGATCCTGCAGGCTATAGCAGCCTTAAGGGCTCCTCTGACAAAAGAGCTCCCCTCCTCCTCCCTATAAACTGCTACTCCCAAGTCACCACCAAACGTTCAGAATTTGGCACTGCTTCTGGATACACACAGAGGTGGCAATGGCTAAGAATACAGACATCAAGCACACAATAGCACCTGTCATGATGGCAAAGTGGCCATCCACAGGCAGTCCACAGGCACGTAGGGATATGCCCAAGCAGGAATAAAAGGGCAGCCTGCCACATTCATACAAAAGTAAGTCAGCACTTTTTCCTTGAAAATGTAGGTAAGCGGTGTTTCATTTTTGCTGTATAAGTTTCCTGTTTTGTAAAGAAAAACTGAAAAGACATGGAGGAACATTAGATGCTTATTCCTAAGTCAAAGAAGCCAGTCTATAAAAGCTTATAATGCATAACTCCAGCTACACAGCTTCTGGAAAAGGCAGGGCTATAGAGACAGTAAAAGAAGAGTGGTTGTCAGGGGTTGGAGCATGGGTAGGGATGAACAAGAGGACAGGGTAGTTAGGGAAGCAAAACTATTCTGTATGATACTAAACTGGATACAATCACAATGTACTTGTCAAAACCGATACAACTGTACAAGACAAAAATGTGACCACTGATGAAAATACAGACTTGATGCCAGCACTGAAAGAAGAAGAGGACTTTGGGTAAAAGTAATGTACTAATATTGATTGATCAGCTGCAACAAATATATAACTAATGCAGAGGAAACTCCGTGTGCATGGGGTGGTGGGAACTTCTTGGGATTCCTGTTTAATTTTTGTTGCCGTTATTCTGGGAATGAACTCAAGGTTTCTATGCATGCTAGGCAAGTACTCTATCACTGTGCTATATATATATTTTTTTAGCAGTTTTTTTACAATTAAGTTTATAATCTTTGTGCATTAGCCTCCTGAGTAGCAGGGATTACAGTTGTGTGCCACCATGCCAAGCAACTATTTGATAAACTTCTCTAAACCACTATCATCATC